ACAGCCCCATTAAATCTAAGCCTCATTTAACTAGCAGGACATTTTTACAATGGGTTTGCTGACATACTGTGATAAATGGCTGTGTAACATCTTTCAACAATAGCTGTGGCCATAGTCCTCACTATAATGTATATAAACACAGCATCTTTTTAAACAATGCACAATCCTCAATAGCAGGAAGTGAAGTAACTCTGCACACAAATACTTTTACTAAGATTTTTTTTGAGTGTGTGGAAAAGAAGAAACCTCCACTGAAAACTATGAGAATTAAAAGTTTCTGAATAGTCCAGAGTAGTCTTTGAAATTGTGGTGCAGGCAGAATGATTTCCGGAAACCTGATGCTTTAAAGATAAAAGAGTTGGCAATAGGATGAAAGCTGCCCTCCCCCCCCCCCTTTATTTTACATGTCAGAGAAATGAATGGAATGGCTTATGAATACATGCAGCTTGCTCATTCAGGAGCCACACTGGTGCCTATTTGTCCTGAAATATCGGTGTTAGGTTACTGTGGAAATCTAAATAATCATTAGCTAGCATGAACTTGATCTGCAAGAAAAATGTGGGCAGGAGATGGCTTTGCTGAAGAGGCTTAACAAACCTTCAGAACTCCACTGTGATCAAGGCATTGTAGGGCTTCTTTTGAGTGCTTGAGCTTTTACAACGCTAGGCACCTTTTAAAATTTGTTATACATTACAAACGGCAGTGATATGGAGGGGATGCAGGTCTTGCTAAATGGTAGGATAAATGGAAGTTTATTCAACAAGCGCAATGGTCTTCCTGCTCATAGCTAGACTCTGATATAATTTTACATAAAATGATATCATAAAGCTGGACATGGTAAAGCTACAGTATTTACACTGGAGACTAGGGTCTGACATTCTGTCTAAATGAAATTTCCCAGTTGTCCCAAACACTTTTTATCTTGTTTCCATGCTAGCAGTTAGAAATGTCACTACATATTGCCACTGTGACAGATGAGGAAAAGCACAAGAAAGCAACCTCTCTTAACTCTGCAGAATGGCAAATGTGGAAAAGCATTTAGTATTATGTTCCACAGAGGTCCAGGATTTGGGGCTCTCTTATTCTCTGAACTCCAGTTCACTCAGTTAAACATGGATTCACACACACACACAAAAGCAAAACAAGAGTGCGCTAAAAAGGGGGGAAAGGCAGCCACACGGAGGTTAATCTGGGTCAACTCTGCATACAGAACCCAACTGTGCAGGGACATTGCCATTTGATAAACCCTATAAAGCCTGGAAAGTCTGAAACCTCCAAGCAGAATATAACCCACTAAGAGTGATAAACTTCCTGTTTTTATTTCCTGCTAATTTCAATACATGGCATATGCCATGTGTTTCACCACTAACTTGTGATCCTCATATAATTACAGCGGATTATTTCTACCCACTAGGCAGACCTAGCATCAGCACATGACATGTTGAAGCAAGTGCCAGGGCCCACGGGGTGTATCAATGAAGGATCCTGCATAATTTTAAAAAGAAACAACAATTTTTAAGGGGCTAGCACTGAGAGGAAAAGCACAAGGGCGGGCAACCACAAAAGTCACCTTATTTCCCTTCCCTAGGAACGCAAACCTTTATAGGAAAGCATTGGCTCATAACCAGTAATTTAACTGCAGGATATAGTGGATTCAGGTACACGCCCCCCCGCCGCCAATATCACATTATGGCTTTTGCAATTATCATACAAAAGCATCTATATAAGTCTATAAAAAATAATGTACTAATAGTGCAATCCTATATATCTACTCACATGTAAGACTCACTGAGTTCAGTGAGACTTACTCAGAGGTAAGTGTGTAAAACACCTGACTACCTAGCTACTTTGGCAAATAGGCTTTATGAAGAAAGAACCAAGCTTTTACCTGATTTACGAAGTTTGTCTGCTTGATCACCTCAAGGATATTCTAACTTGCCACACACAACTCAACAAGTGGCTTTTTACAAGTCTGCATAGCAGGAATGTGGGGAAACTTGGCTCTCTGGTGGAATGTAGTGTGCAACTGACTCTGTACCTACTACACCAGGCATGGCCAAACTTGGCCCTCCAGATGTTTTGGGACTACAACTCCCATCACAAGGAGAAGGGGACGACAGGACGAGATGGTTGGACAGTGTTCTTGAAGCTACCAACATGAGTTTGAGCAAACTGCGGGAGGCAGTGGAAGACAGGAGTGCCTGGCGTGCTCTGGTCCATGGGGTCACAAAGAGTTGGACACGACTAAACAACAACAACTATGTGAACTCCCACTCTCTGCTAAAGCCTTTGAATGGCTCTTAACCCACTTCCCATGGTTTGCACTAAAGAGCAAGAATCCCATACACTTGTGTTGGAAGTTCAGGGCATAATCAAAAGTTCGGTTACTAAAAAATAAAAATAAAAAGATTTGACTATTTACTTGCACCATCTATACTTCCAGTGAAATTCTGAAGATAGTGGAGAACAATTAATTTAAGAGATATTACTATTATAATTATCATACAAAATATGATTACTGCTTTTTTAATCTCCCTTAGAATACAAATTCTCCAGAATTTTAAGATTATGACTTCTTTGTTTATACTGAAAATATGCCACGCTTATAAAAAGGAGCTCATGATATTGCTTTTAGGCCACATTTTATGAAGATTTTTTGACAAGCTTCTCATACAATATTTAATATTGCTACTTTCGAGTTCACAAGGTTTAACTTAAAAAGCTCTCAGATGTCAGTGCAAGTCCATGCTATAGCCTGGGTTAACATAAAGGTTGAATGTGGGTCACATGCAATCTTTCTACTGTGCCATCAAAAAGTGCAAGGAGGTGAGATTTTATCATGTAGAGCTAAATCAAAGTTTTTGTGTTTTTAGGAGTCAACAGTAAAAGTCATTTGGACCACTTTTTAGTAAACACCCTCTTTAACTATTTCAAATGGATATGTTAGGTGCTTCTGAGCCACAGAATAAGAAGCTACCTTCTGTTGAGCTGTTGTCTATTAATAAAAGAGAATGCATGCATTTGAATTTTACAGACTTCTCCATTGTTCTCATTCTATCAATTCAAATTAGTCTAATCAAATAGTTATCACCTTGACCTTTTTATCACTTTCAAGTTGATGGGATTTTCCAGTTCACCTACATTCCTGTCATAGAAAAGCAACATTTAATCTTCAGCTAAAAAGCTTAATACAAAAGTAAGGTATCAAACAGATTGCAGTTCACCATTACGTGCATATTTTTATTTTTTAATTTCTGTGAGTCCTGGAAGACCTGCTCCTTGCCTTGCAGGCCTTTTCCCACCTGCCCTGGGAAGATGGGGCCCTGACTCCAGCTACAGAAGCTGAGGCTGCTAAACAGACTCTTGGCCAGGGGTATTGTTTAGTGGGGGTTGTTTGGGAGTGGGTATGTTGCAGCTATTGATATTAATTTTTGTATCTTTATTTTAGATCTTATGATTTATGTGGAAATAGTTTAATTTGTATGTGTACTTTTTGATGTTTTATTTATTGTTTATGACTACTTTTGATGTTTGCAACTTATGTACTTTTTTCATGTGGTAAGCTGCCTTGAGCATGGTTTGAACGATGGGAAAAGTGGCATACGTATTTCATGTAATTTATATACTGCTTGGTTGTTTAAAAACAAACCTCAAAGTGACTTTTAACTACATTAAGTTTGTAACTAGAGGCACTACTGTATTTCAAATGGATGTGTATGATACTTTCTCACAAGATTGTGCTCAAGGCTCCTCACAATGATTGTGCTAGGAGTACAGAACATAAGAAAAGATAAGAAAAAAGGAATGCAAAACAATCCAAACCAGTCTACTAATGATTTATAGATTTAAAAAAAGTTTGCAACCGGGAGCATCTACTTCCAGGTTAGGGGAGCTCGTAACCCGAAGCGTTCGCAAGGAGGACGGTACATAATACGACGTTCCACTGTATACATTACCAGACTATCTCTTGATTTCTATCTTTACATATTCTATTCTGCCTGCTGCATTATAGTAACATTTTTCAGAGAAGGCAGAGCCTGCAAGAGAACAGGAAATTCTCTTCTGCTCTGGTATAGCAATAATATGAACATATCTGGAAAGAATTAAAAAACTGTAATTTGGGGGCTTTCCCCCTTTGCTTTCCTCAAGAGAGTCTACTACACCGTAGGCTGCTGACTTCAAACCTGTATAACTAAGCTCAGCAAACTCACTGCAGTTTCACTGCTTGCTAAGATCCCAAGCTGGGGAATCACAGTCCTTGAAATATAATTTCCATGAAGTTATGCAAGTTTGAACAGCAGATCTTCTATACTGAATAGTTATTCTGAATATATCCTGAGGGAGTCATGGCATAGTAAAATTAGATTTAGTGCTTGAAGCTAAGGTTTTTCAGTTACCCTCAGGGTTATTGTTTTTAAGAATTGCCATGCTCACTGAAGAACATTGTCCTGGGAATGCAAAGCAGGAAATCAAAAATTGCCATAAATTACTAAACTCGCTCCAACAAAGCAAAAGTTATTCAGATGAAATACTGTCAACTGAAGAGGAACTTTTTTTGTAATTACATATTACACCCTGTAACAAGCAGGATAAATAGCATTTATGGCTTCAATCCTATTCCCACTTACCTGGGAGGAATCCCCACTGAATTTGGCAGGTCTAAGTATAAGACCGTAGCGTAAGTTGTACAGAAATGTGTGTTTTCATGTAATTAAAAATGAATTCATGTCATTAAAAACAAACAAATAAATGGCTGAAAGAGATGCGGTCAAACTGATCAGGCCAAATAAACAAATTGTTCAACTTGCTGCCTCAGGAATTCCACATATGTTGGATGAAGCTCAGCATTGTATTGAAACCAGGGTCATCTTACCCATAGGTGCTAGGGGTGCGGGGCACCCGGGCGCCAGGCTCTCAGGGGCACTAGGCCTGTGGGCTCTTCTGCACCGCAGTGGGCTCTTCTGCTGTGGGTGGCTTTGCGCCGCGAATTTGGGGGCAAGCGAGTCAGCAAGGTGCTGAGGTGGCCGGCCGGCTCCGCCCTCCTGCACGCCTGGGAGTGGTGTAGGGCTGTGGAGAGGCCCACCCAGCGCACGTTGCTTATACCACAAGGTGCCTGGCTTCGCTCAGTCGCTGACGCCTCAGGCTGGTTTGTTGCGCAGGGCTCCTCTGCTGCTTGTGTTGGTTGCCCCCCCCCCCCGACAACTCTGAGGAAGCTTTCCTTAAAAAAGGTCAACAACTTTGGGGTTCCTCTCCCTAAAAAAATGTAAACAACTCTGGGCAGCCTGGGAGGGGGGCCGCCAGGCTGATCTTTGCACCCCAGCACCGCATGTGCTAAAGACAGCCCTGATTGAAACTATAGGGTACCCAGTTTTACAGAGCTCACAACTGAATAAAACTAACTCCTTTTTCATATCTGCTTTTACTTATTTGTCCTAGATTGAAGTCAATGGGCCTGCCCATAAAATGAAAGTCTACCGTGAAGGACTAGAGTGATGTCCTCTGCTTCCAGGAACTCTTCTCATTGTAGGCCTTTTGAGGGTGAGTTTTGAGTTTGTTTGGGCTCTGGCTGAGATCTCAGAGGCTAAGAGTGAGGGTGTGTGAGAAAGAAAATGAACTGATATTGATTTTTTTATATATTAGTAACTTAGTATTAATAACTTCCTATTTATGTAATGTTTTAAAATGTAACTGTGTATTTTTTGTAATATTTTGTTTAAGCTGCCTGTTGCAGCTTCAGTTTTTTGAACAACGCTTAGAGATATTTTTAATATATTAAGCAGCATAGAAATTAATAATAAATCAGTCAATAGTCGGTTGCACAGATTTTCCATTTGCAGTGTAAAATGTGAAATAGATAAGACAATGTTTAGGGTAGCATTCAAAGGGGCATAAACCCAACACATTTTAGATTTCAGCTTCTTCAGCAGAAAGTACTCCTATTCCTAGCTTAGTGTAGCATGGCAATCCACTTGCAAAATGGAGTTTCCAAAGCAGCTGATGATGGGAGCAGGCTGTGCAAAAAAGGAGTCAGAAATTCTACACAAGCCCTTTGTATGAGACAATGAGTGAAATAAACCTCAACTGAAAGAAAGGTGAAATGCCAAGATGCCTCCATCTTATTTTTCACACCATTTTCCGCCCTTCACACATACACACTCCAAACAATACGCAGTAGATCTTGTGTGCACAGAGCCACCAGGGCACCCTTTAGGGGACATTCCTGGAGAACTGTGGGGACTACCATGGAGGAAAAAGGACAGCAAAGTTAGGTTCTGTCTACCCTCCTCCATGGGGATCTCCAGAATAGAATCCTAGAATTGTTGAGTTAGAAGGGATATCAAAGGTCATCTAATCCAACCCCCTGCAATGCAGGAATCTCAGCTAAAGCATCCATGACAGGTGGCCATCCAACCTCTGCTTAAAAACCTCCAAGGAAGGAGAGTCCACCATCTTCCAAGGGAGCCAGTCCCACTGTCGAACAGTTCTTACTGTCAGAGAGTTCTTCCCGATGTTCAGTCGGAATCTCCTTTCTTTTAACTTGAAGCCACTGGTTTGAATCCTACCCTCCAGGGCAAGAGAAAACAAGCTCGCTCCATCTTTAGGTTGTCCTAAATAATGCGACTGCAAAATGCACAGCTGTACTGACCATAAGCAAATGCATTTAATTTTAAACTACTAAATGAGAATGTTAACATTTATTATGAATTAGCAGTACATTATTTGCTGTCTTCTACGCAGTCTGGCCACTGTATCTATCACTGATATGTGCCCCCTATGCCTTGCACTGCATGCCCTCTTTCTACACCTTGCCATTGCTTGTCTCCATTATCAGTTCAGGAAGAAATTTCAACAAAACTCTTCCTCTGGTCACTGATATCTCTGGGAACCGAATCCATCAAGATATTTCTGACCCCTGTTCATGCTACTTTAACTGTCTGGTGAACAGGAAGGAACTGATAAAAATAGAATTACAATGCCCTTACAGATGAACTAGCAAGAGACTTGATTGTGATTGATGCCTGAATAAACATACAATAGCAGGCCATACATCTCAACAAGGCTTTGATAGAAGTAGAAAAAGAGTGTAGGTTTTCATTGCTTAGACCACTGCGTTCTTTTCTCAATGAAACATTTGGGAAAGAAACAATTCACTACAAAACCCCCACAAGGGGATTCTGGCTTGTTTCTTTCATTAAAAGTAAACCAGAGAAACAAATTCTACAAGCTTGCTATTTATATGACTCCGTATGGTAACTGTGAATGCACAAAAATGAATGAGACTATTTTTCTCCAAATAGCTCTGAATTACAAGCCTGAATGGAGGCAAGTTTAGCAATACACTACTGTTGCTGTAGGAAACACTGTTGTTCCCCGTAGGAAACATGTAAAATGGGTGAACATCTTTAAACAACTGTGCATGTGCATCTGGGAAACCTTTTAGCATGTCTAAAGACATGAAGCACCCATGTTTTTCATATTTATTTCTTAAACTATTCCTACCAGGGCCAATTTTTGTAAATACTTAATTTTAAAAATTACTTTTCAGAATTTTGCGAACATAGGCCAGTTATCAAGGTATAAAATTTGGCATACTTTTTTTTAACGCTGTGGTAGCCTTCTCTCTGTAAGATATTTGCTTAACTTTCATCAGCAAAAAGAGCGCATGAAGATTATTAGTCAGAATATGTCAAAATGCTGGGTCAAATTGGGTGGATAATGGGCATGCTTAAATCCCCCTGAAATTGTTGCAGAAAATTTGGTAGCCCAAACTGCTAATGCAGCCTTCACCATCTGCTGCCCTCCAGATGTTTAGAACAACTTCCACCAGCTCCAGCCAATGCAAAGCATCTGGATGGCAGCAGAATAGTGAAGGCTCTGCTAAGGCCTCAAGAACAAGAAAGCAAATGAAAATTAGATCAAACTTTGGGGGGGAAAACCCTGTCTCAACATACATTCACATGTCAGAAGAAGAACCCTGCTGGATCAGGCCAAAGGTCCATCTAGCACAGTATTATGGTCTCACAGAAGCCAACCAGATGCCTACAGTAAGCCTACAATATGCCTACAGTAAGCCTACAAACAAGACAAAGTGCAGCAGTCTCCCTAATTTTGTTTCACAGCAGTTGGAATTGAGAGGCATATTGGCGATAATATACAGTCGTCATGACGAGTAGCTGTTACCATTATTAGCCTTATCCTCAGTGAATTTGTCTCATCCCCTTTTAAAGCTGTCCACGTTGGTAGTCTCATCATTGCATTCTGTGTCTGAGAATTCTACAGTTTAACTATGTGCAGGGTGAAGAAGAACTTCCTTTTAATTTATTCTCTCCAATTTATTTATTCTGCCTCTCTCCTAAATATTTTAAAGGTAGCTTTTTCTAGGGATGCTTGAAGAATGTAATCTTTGTGAATTCCAGTACTAACTGAGCTGTTCCACATTTCTCACAATAACATGTGGAGCAAAATGTAGCTATCCATCTGATTTCACACTTCTCTGAATGGTTTGGCATTAAAAAAAAATATCAAAATGTATTTTAAGATGCATATTCTTAGAAAAACATGTTTAAAATATGCATCTAAATTCATATTTAATTACAGTTTTCCTTGTACAAAAAAATCTGTAATTAAAATGAAAACAGGACAGTGTTTCTCATTTGAAAGTTCTAATTTCAGTGAAATAATATTCTACAGTAGTAAGTTTAGTAAGTGTAGTTTGATGTCTACCATGTTCACGAAACCATATATCCAAATTATGTACATCACACACAACTAAAATTAGCCACAATCTCCACTTTGATGTATTTCAGCATTGCTCTTGGCACTCAGTCTGGTGGCCATCATAGATTATCCTATGTTACAGCCAAACTATAGGAAATAGTTTGTTTGGATGCAAAAAGCAAAACATTTTTAAGGCAAAATATCCCAAGGCAGCTTTATTTAAGTAATCTTGACACAACTGGCTTGACAAAGCAATTTTTCTGTGAAAATGCTTTTAGTATAATATGCAAAGCCATCGACAAAAGGTATTTGTTAAGAGAATTCAAGATATAAACATATAGTTATTCAGTCCTAATCCAACACGCATAATTTAAGGATGACTTTGCTTTTTATGTTACAGTGATTATTCTGACAAACACTTGCTCACGTCTGAAAAAATGGCACACATGGTTGGAAGCAGTATGCGTCTGAATACCAGCTGCTGGAAATTACAGAGGTGATTGCCCTTACACTCAGGGCCTGCTTGTGGGTTTCCTAAGGGCATCTGTTGGCAATTGTGAGAACAGGATGCTGGGCTAGATCGGCAACTGGCCTGATCCACTGTGTGTGTGTTATTGTTTTGTTTTATTATGTGATTTTTTTGTGTGTTTACACTGTCAACTGCCCTGTGATCTTCAGATGAAGAGTGGTTTTTATTTTTATTTTTAAATATTCTTAAGCCCCTCTTTGCACATGGAGTTTAGTGTGTGAGCCTTTATATTTAGGCCTAGTTACATACTTGGCAGCCAGCTTGAATTGGTTTCAACAAAAGCTATTTATAATTGACACTAATATTGGGTCATCATAACAAAATCTTGCCCTCAGGAGTCAGCTTATCTGCATTTAAGTACCTGCTAAAAAGTGATGCAATCGAATAAACAATTAATTGGCACTTTCCCACTCGACACATGATTTTTAAAAACTTCAGCGTAGGTGTGCAAGTTTATTTGCAACTCGCTTTGGATAATACCAGTTGTAGTGGCTTGACTAGCCCTGGGTACACAAAATAGTCTCAGCCCTGTTTTCCCCATCTGTGAGAATACTCTAACAGTTGCTGGCTCAGACTGTAACCATTGGCCATGCTTGCTGAAAAAGTGGGACCAGGGGTGTGGTGTGTACAACGTGCATGGCCCATGCTTCTGCACATGAGAGGGTTCCCTTTCTAGGCGTAACACTGAAGTCTGATGCAAATCTATTTGAGTCTTCTCCAGGGCAGGCAAATCATTATCAATTAATGTCATGACTCAACTATTGTTTGAAAGCCCTACATCTCCTCAGTCCATATATTAGCTGCTTCATTGGGTTGTGCTTTGTCCATGCTGACCTTTCATGTCTTTTGGAACACAGTTAAATAGCAATCTTATACCAACATCCCTCTGTTTGACACAGTCCAGACATAATTCCTGTGAAGAACGCTGTAATAGGATCTGCTGTTCAATAACTCCTATACAACACATAGTCTTGACTTTGTAGCAACTGGGGTGGCTTCTTCAAAGCTTATTTGGGGAGCCTGGCACACTGAGCCCCCAGTTTCGGGGGGGGTAGCAGGATGGGGAGAACAAGGCATTACTGTTCAGATTCATAATTCATAATATTATTTCTTTCCATTGCACTACTTAAGGAAAAGTCATATATTTCCTCTGCAGCCCATGTTTTTGTTTAGCTTCTTCTGGTGCACTGTAAATCTGAAGTAACCGCAGTAATTGACATGCCAATGGATAGGAAACAGATGAGGGAGTTACATTCTGCAGTTTTTCAAAACTGTATATATGTATGTATATGAAGCAAAATATAAGCTGTACATCGTTAATATATTTCAGCCTACTTAGACTTCTTTTATCATTCTACAGCTTAATGAGCAACTGGAATACAGTTTTCCCACATAATGCTCTTATTTAGAATTTGAGCCCCCCCTCCCCCAGTCATTTCCTTTTGGGTTGCTTTCCTACAGATTCTTCTTTCTATTCTTTCCTTCAGTTATCAGAGAAATCATCCTTCATGTATTGATTCATTTCGACCTATGTCTGGAAGGCAAAGGGAATCAAATTAACTAATATTTTACTTTTGCATGAGATTAATGCTAATGCTTACAAAGAGGGAAATACATTCCCGTGATTTAATTTTCATTCTCTGGTTGATTCTCAGTGATTTAATTTTGCAGAGGGTTGTCTCTCTGCTTATTGTCTTTTGAGCTCATATTGGGGTATTAGAGATAGAAAACTCCTATTATGCTGTCTTCCAAGTGCCGAATTGTTCTCAGTACTATCATCTTGAGTGCTTGTCCATTCTAATTTTAAATAACTCAAGCAATGAGGCTCTGTAATTTCCTCCTGGAGACTGTTGCTCAGTGTAATCAATGTTACTGACAGAAATTTTACATGATGTACAGCCTAGAATTCCTGGTCTTTAATTGGAGCCAGCCTAGAGCCAGCCTTGACCAGGATATGGCCTCCAAACTGCAGTTTATGATGCTCTCTCTTGAAGAGTGTGATGGCTATCCAAATCCAGCAGCCACATTTTCATGCCTCAGTCAGAGATCCTCAGAGTTATCTGCGGATGCTTATGGAACTTAGCGCCATAAATCCAGAGATGCTCAGCCTCCAATTATCGAGTATTTCACAATGTAATGGTCGCTTCCTCCAGCTACTTCTGCTTGGGTGTGCAGTGGGGCTTCTTGGCCAGGTCCAAGCCAAGGCCAGGACATGCAGGAAGAGCCAATTGAGCCAGTTTAAAACAGGAACCCTGCAGGCCAACCTGTCTCCTTGCCTCTCGACTCTGTGCAGCCCAAGGTGGCGGCAATAGCAGCAGCAGCAGCCCGGGCGTGGCTTTGCCTTGCTGCCTCCTCCAGCTACCATATATCCACTCAGGGCTGGCAAGCCAATGAGGGCCCAAACTCCCACCCTCACCATCACAGGAGCCCCCATGCCCGACCCCTAGCTCACCTCAGAATTATCCCTAAGACCATTATGCAGGGAATGCTCTGGGACTGATTTTAGGGTCCAAAGAAGCAGAGGTGGTGACCAATATGTGGTGAAATTTAACGAAATTCTTTCATTGCTTGTAGTAATTTCTTTTCCTACATGATACTCATACCCATTTGAGGCTCAATATACCCATTAGTTGAGCCAGGAATGTTGGCATATTGGTAGTGATGCTTTTTCCTGATCTTTTCTCTGCATTGTATAGGGCCATATTAGATATGTAGAAATCCGGAACTGCTTGGATTGTGTCATCTGGAATATTTTCAGTTCCTTTGCAGGAAGGTTCACTATCCTACATGTCCATATGTTCCATATAGAATAATAGAATTGAAGAGTTAAAAGGGACCCCAAGAATCACCCCCTGCAATGCAGGAATCTCAACTAAAGCATATTTGACAAATGGCCATCCAACCTCTGCTTTAAAAACCTCCAATAAGGTAGAGTCCAAACCTCCCAAGGGAGTCTGTTCTTGTTCAGTTCGACTGCTCTTGCTGTCAGAAAGTTCTTCCTGATGTTTAGTTGAAATCTTTTCTAATCTATATAAAAAAAAGGTAAAGGACCCCTGACAGTTAAGTCCAGTCGCAGATGACTCTAGGGTTGCAGCGCTCATTTCGCTTTACAGGCTGAGGGAGCTTTGTCCGCAGACAGTTTTTCTGGGTCATGTGGCCAGCATGACTAAGCTGCTTCTGGAGAACCAGAGTAGTGCACAGAAATGCTGTTTACCTTCCCGCTGGAGCAGCACCTTTTTATCTACTTGCACTGGCGTGCTTTCGAACTGCTAGGTTGGCAGGAGCTGGGACCAAGCAATGGGAGCTCACCCCATTGCGGGGATTCGAACCACCGACCTTCTGATTGGCAAGCCCAAGAGGCTCAGTGGTTTAGACCACAGCACAACCCGCACCCCCTGTCTAATCTATAGTCTTGTCTAATCAGTATTGGTTGAAGAATACCTCCTGCCAGAGCCAGACTTCAGTGGGCCTTGGCATGATACCAACAAATGGGTCCCTGCCCATTGCTTCTGAAACAACTACTGAAGTTGGGACCCCTGCCCGATGCTGCTCTTGTCACCACCGCCTGCCATTATGGCTCCTGTCCAGTACTGGCAATGCTTGCTGTTGATGCCAGTCACTCACTCTCCACCTCACCCTGCATCCTGTTGAGCTGGTAATATATTTGAATGGGAGATAGCGAAACTACTACGTGGACCTGCTTTGTGGCAAGTGGACATGTTTAGATTTCCTGAGATGCAATGCTTGGCAATGGAGGATCTAAGAAAATGCTTGCCCATTGTGGAACAGAGCTAAGTAGCATCTTAGTCACCTCCCATCCTTAACTGTGGCCTGTCAGCTAAAGAACCATGGCAAGAGGGGGCAGCATCAGGTAGGGCCCCTGTTGGAAATAGGCCCTTCTGGTGCCCAGCTATACTTAGATCAGTGTTTCCCAACCGGTGTTCCGCGGCACACTAGTGTGCCGCGAGACGTTGCCTGGTGTGCCGCGAGATGTTGCCTGGAGGGAGGCGGGTGAGTCGGGCGGCGAGAGGCGGGGCGGCGGCGGCGAGGAGAGGCCGCCCAGCGCGGGGCTCTCGCCGTCTGCCTGCCTGGCTGCCTGCGTGGCGCTGACGTCACGGGGCTGTAACGTGCCCCACATAGGCACACGCGGGGCGGCGAGCGAGCTCCCTCCCACATCCCATCGCCGCTCGCTTCTGCCGGCCTACTCGGGATTCCCTTCACGCCTTCCTCCTCCCGGGTCCTTGAGAGCGCGGGAAGCGGCAGCGCGAGACCGGCGTTGAGCCTGGTAGGTATTGCGCTTGCCAAGGCAGTCATTTGGGAAATGAAAACTTGCAAAGCAAGCAACCAGTTCAATCTGAAGTACGTGTATGCTTAATATCCTGTATCTGAAACCTGTTCTGCCCCTCCCCCACACTTGGTGCCATTTTCATCTACACATGCAGCAGAGTAAGTTGACCCAGAATAGTACCAATTCAGATGGCAGATGGGAGAATGACAGTGCTGAATGCTTTCCCATGCAGAACAGTCCCTGCAAATAAAAACCTAGCATATTTGGAAGAGGGATGCTAGCCTAACCATTACCTTCTATGCTGTTACTATTATTTTATTTTTTTTACATAAGTAAAAAGTGACCTTTCCCCATCTGGCATGGTGGTGTGCCTCGAGATTTTTTTCATGAAACAAGTGTGCCTTTGCCCAAAAAAGGTTGGGAAACACTGACTTAGATGAACAAAGGTCTTGCCTCCTGAAACATGCCATTACAACTGCACTTCTTGCTCACTCTGCCAGCACATGTATTGATTTGTATATATCTGATTGTTTAACTTTAGATTATTCAATATTTTATTGCAATATATTTTATTTGGAAACCACACACAGGATGGGCAGTTAATAAATAAATGTCTAAATAAATAAAATGTGGCTGGGTTAAATGCTAAACATTAAGCCAAACTAATCTTCATTGCAGGCAGGGCAG